CTCTCTCTCTCTCTCACACACACACACACACACACACACACACAAACTAATAATAAACAGAGCACCAGAATAAGACGAGGAAGCTACAGGTGGTGAGTATGAGCAGTACAGCTCAACCCAATTGCTTATCCTAATGCCTCAGGACCTGCCAAGCATCCTGAGGAAAACACACATATGCAATAAAAAAAAATGTCTTGACATTCAAGAAATTTATAACTTAAGTGAGGTGACAGTTAAACCTCTCCTGAGGAAACAACTTGTGTGACTTTGTGCCAGATGAGTGATAGAGATAAGTACTGATCTGGAAAAGCAGAAGGAAGGACCTTTTCATGATGACAGTTATGGACCAGACAGTCTGGCTGCTTTGTATTTCCTTACCTTCTTTGTTTTTTCAGAACAACCAGGAGGCAGGGCCTACTTTGATCCCATTTTACTGGAGAAGCTTGAAAGTTGCAGTGGCTGTGGAGCACACAGCCAGAACACAGGAGAGAAAGAAGCAGTACAGGCTTAGCCTCTTTGTCTCTGGGTAACTATGCCTTCAAATCAGCGGTCCGATGGCTCACCTCTCAAGAGTTTTACCTGAGATATACCCAGAAAGGCTGGACAACTGAGCTGGCTGAGGATGTGATTAGAAAACAGCATCAGAAAAAAAAACCAAAACCTAAAACCACCTGGTATGGTGGTACATGCCAGTATTCTTAGCACTCAGGAGTCATACATAGGCAGGGAGAACAGGAGTTCAACATCATCCTTAGCTAAAGTGAATTACATAAAATGTCACTTAGCCTGGGCTATATGACACCCTATCTAAAACAAATACACACACAAACAAATATCCCCCCAAAACTCTAAAGCTAAGGATATCTGAAAAAAATTAGACCAAGAATGTATGGAAACTTGATTATCTAGGTGGTAACTTATTGGATATCTTAGAATATGTAACCTTTTAACAAAAACTGAATCTCCAGTTTACTAGTGCTAAGTAGATGTATTGCATATGCCTCTGCTTCTTCAGAATAGCCCCTACCCTAAGACTTTAACTTTTGTGACTCAAATGGATCATGAAAATAAAGTGGCTTTGTTGCACTCAGTGGCATGATTCATATATATATATCAAGGCGTTTATTTATGTTTAATGTAACTATAAATGACTCCAGACCAATATGGGTTTGATACTTAAGTCAGTTTTTAATTTATAAATTTCAGTTTCTTAGTTTTCAGCTGTTGCCTTTCTCTACTTGTTTTTAATTTTCAGCTTTGACTGTAATATCAAGATAACCAGGCTTATTAATACTTATGTAAAAATAATTGCTTCTAAGTAAGTACCTGTGAGGTCAATGAATGAATTTTACTACATAAATTCTGTTGCATCTGTTGGTGCCTTAAGATTCTCATTTAATAACTTCCCATTTAATAAATTGCCTCCCATCTTGCTCTAAGTTTATTGAATAGATAGAAAGAAGCTGGTAGAGAACGCAGTGGTTAAGAGCACTTGCTGATATTGCAGAAGATGCAGGCTTGGTTCCTTGAACTCACTTTCTAGCCTACAACCACCTGGAACTAAAGTTCCAGGACATCCAACCTTTTCCTTCTGGTCTCCTTTGTCCTGCGTGTAGTAGACATAGATACATATCTCCTAGAACAACTTACAGTCTTTGAGGTGGCATAGGATAGACTAGGAATACATTCAGGAGCAGGGTTTTACTTAGTTTTAAGTTATACTATCTTTCCTGATGGGTGAGAGAAGGACTCTTCCTCACATCCTTATGGAATGAAAGAAAGGTTTCCTTAGTTTTCCGGCATCTGAAAGGCCTTCACTAAGTGTAGGCTGCTCTTATTCCTTCCTAGAATGGGGATCAGAGGTTCAGAGAAAAGCCAGGTTTGATGGTTTCAGGTAGTGGATATGTAAAAAGAGAAAACAGGGAGACACATTGCCAGTACAGCCTTCCTTTGTGACCCACTAGTTTTGCAAAATGAGGCCCAGGGATGCACACACAGTAGGATCTGTGCTGTAAGTCAGGAGTGGCTTCTGACTTAAGCTAGTTCTTAGGTTAACCCTTCACTTAGCCTTCCTTCTACCCCTGTTTTTTGTCATGTTCTATAGTCTCATGAGCTTTACAGCCTACCCTAGGTTTGGAACTATACATTTGAGGTTGGGTCTTCTTTTCATTTTCAATCTGGCCAAAGAGGAGATAGGGTGGGGATGAGACAGCTGGGATCCCATCCCCAGTGGATCCATAGCTGGCTTGGATCTGGAGTTGATTCACTGTTCTGGAACAGGCACCTCTGTCTTCAGAACTAGCAGCAGGTCTCTCTTCACATCTGGTAAAGTTCAAAAATGTTTGTCTGGGTAAAGGAGGCCCCTTGTGGGAGGGGTTCAAAAGCATGACATTATTCCAGCCAGGCCCGGCTTCCTTTGGAGAAAGAAAGGGCTGGGCCAACCTAGACCAGATGGGATTCCCAGGAATTGATGTATTTGAGTTGAGCAAGGAGGGCGTGGGCAGAAAAAAAAAAAAAAGGGGTTTCAAAGGAGAATTTAAAGGATATCTCAGAATGGTACATTGAAAGTATGAGTCCTTTAATTCAGTATCTGAATGCTACCACTACTTGTCCCTGTAATGAATTTATGTCTTAGGGTCAAATTGGTGGGGTCCTACCTTAAGGAAGTAGCTTAGGTTGGCTTCAGTGTCTAAACTACATAAGAACACACACATATCTTGTTGTCTACAAAGGCTTTGAGGCTGTAGCCAGATGGCTAACAACTACCAGAGTCAGCAAGACCTATATTCTTTGCTGCTTGACCACATGATCTATGTTCTTTCCCTGATCAACAGCTTTGTGACATAAGTTCCTCATTTCTGGAATGAAGATAGTAATATCATTTCTTTCCCTGTTTACCTGGCACATAATAAGACATGATTTCTGTGGTCAATATTAATATAGTCTGCTTGTTACAGGTTGGGAAGAAGGAGGAGGTGGGAGTTGAGACCCTGACTAGCACCTTATACAAAACATTCTTGGCCTTGGGTTGACTAGAAGTTAAAAGTCTGCCTTCCCTCTTGATGATGATGGCAATAGCAATCAGTCTACATTGTTGTTGACCTTGGAAAATGGAAAAAATACAGAGATAGATTTCAATCAGGAAAATTTAGAGTTGCACCTCAGAGGGTACTAGAGCCCTTGGACCTTTCCTTAAAGATAGTATTACAGTTGTGAACTATGGAGCCTGAGTCTATCCCTGGCCAATGCACAGAGGCCCTCATCCTGTATGTTTGAATTTCACATTGGTAGCTGAGGCCTACTTATAAACTAAACAGCCTCATCCCCATAACTTCACCATACACCTTCTCAGTCACTAAGAAAGTTAAGTTTGAATTTGGAACATTAATACTTTTGGAATTCAGTCTTTATGTGGCTGATCAAGACAAGAAAAGCCCTGGCCCAAGCTTACTTCCCTTCTTCCTACCCACAATTCTGGCCTCAGACTACTCTCTTATTTTCTTCCTTCATATGATTCAGGATATAGTGTGAAGGATCTTGCATGTACACATAGGACACTAGTTTTTTTTTTTTTTTTTTTTTGGTTTTTCGAGACAGGGTTTCTCTGTGGCTTGGGAGGCTATCCTGGAACTAGCTCTTGAAGACCAGGCTGGTCTCGAACTCACAGAGATCCACCTGCCTCTACCTCCTGAGTGCTGGGATTAAAGGCATGTGCCACTAACGCCCGGCTGCTAACCCTTCTTTCAAATGGTCATTCTTGGACCTTGGAGGCACACAGTGTAGTGCTGCAGTTCACCTCTAGAGGTATGAGCCATCATAGATTAATATTGGTCTGGATGTGAGCAAAGGGCCAATTGAGCAAGCTGTATAAAGAATAATGGTCTCCAGTGTCATCTAGAATGGAGGGCCAGCCTAGTTGGCTCATACAGGAGAACAGGCTTGGGACCCATGAGATACAAGGTCAAGGTTCTCCTTCCTGAGTTTTAAGGATATATAGAATAATGGGAGCAAGTGCACTCATAAGGGTAATTCAGAGAATATATAGATCAAGAATCATTCTACCTTAGTAGTTTGATTTTCTTGACATTTCAGGTAAAAATAGACAAAACTACCTATATTTAGGGATTATTAACTGAGGTACACATGCATGAAAATATATAGTCCTAGCAAAGCCAGACAAAGCTCTGTGTCTTCCTTCTATGAGGAAGGATGGGAAACTAGGCCTTAGTTCTCTAGTCCCATCAAGAAGATTTCAGCTACAACCTCCTGAAAAAAGTCCCCAGGTTACTCAATGTGGTTGAGTTCCTATCTAAAAGAAACAATGGATTTGAAGGTCCTAAACTTTGAAAAAGCAAGACTGAAAATGAAAAATTATTTAAGGGGATTTGTATAGAGAAAGCATGACTCTAGATTATTTTCAATAATTAGTATATTGGGTTGAGACTGATCAAAAAAGAGAAGTGTGTAATCAAAGGGAGCTAGGAACATAACTCTCTCATAGATTCAATCTTTGTAATGTGAAATTTTATATCTTAGTATTTTGCTAAATACATTACAAATATTGCCTTCTGTGTTGTTACAATTTTTAATTATTTGTGACATTCCTATGTTTTATAAATGTTTAGTGTATTTCCTTAGGGAAAACCTAGTATAGGAAACTAGTTCTTGATGTCCAGGAGTATATTATTAATGTTTCTTAATTGTCAGGGGCAGCAGGAATGTTCCAGGAAGATTCACCTAAAGCCAGGAAGTTGAATCAGGTGTTGTCATGTGGCTCCAAGGTCAGGTTCTGACTTTTCCTTATTTTTCTGTAACCTCTGGGTCCACAGATCTGAACAACTTGACCTCTGCTGCCACAGAGACTACTGCCCCGGGAATATCTCCATCAATTCCTACAAATGAGTCCACTGAGAAAACGACCATACCTAACATCCCTGGAAGTACCAGCTCCCACTTCCTCCCTCAGGATAGCAATGAGACCACACCAGCCATCTCAGGTAACCAGAAGTACTCAGCTAGTATAGCCTGTTCCCCGATCACAGATGGGGTCACAGAAACTAATACTTCATGTAAGAGTACTCATAAATAAGTTCTAAATGGCTTTCTCTGTGCTGGCAACATTTGTAGACTGCACATGACAAGTGGGTCCTGAAAGGACTGATTCCTGTATTTATGCTGAATTTGGCTGGCAAAAAAGAAAGGATCAGTTTGGATTCAATGGATGTATGTTTCTGTTCTCTTCTAAATGATGGAAGATGGTCTGGATTCAAATTGTAGGTCTTTCACTTTTGTAGGACAGAATCATTTTCACTTTCAGAATTGGAGGGCACCTTTAATACGTTCTAGATCATGCATATCCAATCTGATACCTGAGGGCCTCATGTATCTCAGGTTAGCTATGAGGGAGGTCCAACATATTTGTAGATGACAACATGTTACAATGTTGAAAGGCTGGAAATTCTTGTTTTATATTATGACTATGGTTCCAATGGCTAGCTGGAAATGAATTGGGTCAGGGTTAAGATGTGAAGTGACTGTGACCTCACTAGATCCCTGTTTCTATGCAGTAATCCATGCTAGCACCACAAGTGAGATTGTGTATTTATTACATACACTTATGTTTTTGTGTATTCCAGAGACAACAGTCAACTTTACCTCTACCTCTGGGATTCCTTCAGGCTCTGGAACCACACAAACTTTTGTGCAATCCCAAACGTCCCCAACCATCACAGTGCCCACCACTTCAGATAGTGCTTCCACCTCAGAGATTACCTGGAAGCCCAGCTTGCCATCTGTAAATGTTTCTGATTACTCAACTAATAATATCAGTTCTGAGATGACACCAACTACTGAACCATATGCATACACATCATCTTCTACTGCCCCAGTTACCATCAAGGTAAGTGAGTTGGGCCCCAAATGGCAGCTTATGCCTCACTTTCTATCCCAACACTCATACCAGCCAATGAGATTTGGGTCATCTTGGAATGAACATGGGATATGTACTTTATGTATTGCTAGAAAGACTAGACAGGAGGAAGATAAGGAGGAGACAGTTCAGTCCAGTGAGAAGTCTGGTCTGTGCTTTGGGTTTTGCATTTGGGGGAGATTCTCAGAGATCCTTCTAGTTTTGTGGTTCTTCAGAGGCAGCATTTACTTTTGGGAATATTTGGATCTGTCCCCTGTGTGCTGGGGTGGCCTTTCTTAAATGTGTAGGGGAAAGTGTTTCTGACATATGGAGGGCTTAGTGAAGTACAGAACAGCAGTGAGGATGTCATCTGCAGAGGTGAGAACTGCACACAGGGATGGTGAATTTCGTCTGACCTTCTTGGCCTTGAGCCTGTGGCAGTCAACAGCTTTTAGACTGAAGGGCAGGAAATATGAAGACCTAAGGACAGGCATGAGGGGCCTAGTTGTTAGTTAGTTAGATTTTTTTGTTTTTAAAGAGGTAGCAGATGAATGCACAGATTCCTAGGGGCCAGGAAGAAAACTGCTGCCTGACTACCCCATTGTCTGTGTGCAGCTAACTGAAGGAAAAAAACAACAATGAGATAATTTTCTCTTTTCCCCTTTAAGTATCACCCAAGCCAGGTTTCCCATAATTTCAAATAGCATCTTGCTTATGGCTCAGGATAGTAACAAAAGGCTTTATTCTCTCATTGAGGAAGTTAATGAGATGGGAGGAAACAATCTAACTACACACTGAGTGCCCTTAATCTGAAAATTTTGGGTACAGGTTTTTATTTTGGCACATTTAATTTGATTTTAGAATATATAAAGAGATCTTGAGAATAAGACCCAAGCCAAAACATAGAGCTCATCTATGCTTCATATATACCATATGCACATAATTTAAAGGTCATTTTTACATCACACTTTTCAATAATTTTATGTACTCAAATGTTTGTAGTATATATTTCCCACTTGCAACACCATATTGGAGATCAGAAAGTTTTAGATTTTCAAACATTTTATATTCTGAATTTTTGGATTAAGGGTGCTCAATTTTTACTGCAAATCTCACCAGGCATGTCTGAAATCACAGCAACCAAAAGGATGCAGCAGGACAATTATGAGTTGAGACCAGCCCAGGTTACATAACTACATAGTGAATTCTGGTCCAGCCTGAGCTATAAAGTAAGACTTTGTCTCAATAAAAACAAACAACAAGAGCAGTTAAATCAATAATGTAAATCCCTAGCCCTCTGAGAACTTTTAAATTTCCTTTTTCCTAACTTTTTAAGAGAGTACCTTGAGATAAAAGAGGTGGGGGAAAGTGAGGGGGCACAGATACTTGCATATTTACTTTGTTTTGTTTTAATACAGGGAGAAATCAAATGTTCAGGAATTCGAGAAGTGAGGTTAGCCCAGGGCATCTGCCTGGAACTAAGTGAAGCATCTAGCTGTGTAAGTCTACCTCAACCCTATTCCTCTCATTCCCACCCCAATCCCTTTGAACACCTGAAGCCATCTTGGGTTGCCCTTACTTGAGTAAGTTGTCTGGGAGTTTAGCAGGGACAGACTATTTCCAATATTGGGCTTTGGATTTGGACAATATGAGGCCCCATCTGGTAAATAAAATAAAAGGCAAAACCTTTTAAATTTTGTTATTTGATGTCAGATTTAAGCTTGTCTTTATATTAAGAAATCCTTGTCATTGCCCAGATATTAACCAGCCAACTAAAATTCAAATGATTTTATTATTTACATGTAATTCTTTAATGTACACTGAATTTATTTTGGTATTTATATTGTTTTTATATGACCTGGTCACATACTTCAGAGATACTTTATTTTTTCAGGTTGGTTATGCTTTTGTCAATATTAAATTTGTTGTGCTTTTAATAACCAGCAAGCCAGATCTTTCCTAATTATACCATAAAAGTGTGTTTTTCAACTCTATTTTTTAGAAAATCCTTGGAGGCATCTGTCAGGATTCCTACCCCACCCCCCAAAAATCACACAAATTTGAATAGGAACTTGCTGAAATCCTTCAGTTTTTCCTAGTCATATTTTGTATCTTTCATCACCTTTTTGAATTTAAAATGTTTCCATACTGGTCCCCACTCTCCCCACAACACATATTTTTTTTTTTCCTTCAGAATAGAACCCAAGGCTGTGTACATGCTAGGCCAGTATTTTATTGCTGAGGCATATTCCAAACATTTTTCACTATGAATTTGATGGGTTTTTAGTAAGGATATCCTAATATGTATTTTAACTTACTATTGCTTAGATATTAGAAAAATTATTGGAGTCTGAATATTTATCTTAACTTTGTGTCTTTCTTGAATCTGCTAATTCTAGGAGATTCTTGGTTCTTTTTCACTTTTAACAGTTAACAACAAATTATCTGCTATGGTGTGTTATTTTTCTCATTCTTTTTAAAAGTAGTGATTCTTATTTCACTTTCTTGTCAGATTGCATTGGTTAGAGTGTATTTTCATGTGTTAAAATAAATCCTGTTTCCTGGCAGTAACAAGGCCCCCGGAGTAAGAATAGAGGTGAAGGAAAAAGTGTTGTTTTCTTTTACAGTGTTTTCTTATGGGAATGCAGTGAAGGGAATCTTGTAGGTAACAGCTGAGTTGACTGTATGGTTTGGACAGACTTTAGGCTATCGAGGACATGTCTTAACCTATTTTGGCTACTCAAATGACTGGTTTCTTACTTAGAGCAATCAGGTGGTACCTCTGCCTTATAAATCTTTTAAAAATACATATTAAAAAGGACCATTTAACTTAGAGCATCTGAAAATTGCAGAAATCATAAAGACAACACAAGTTCTCAGAATAAAATAATTCAATGAAGTTTTCAAAAACATTTAGGGTGAATGTAAACAGACAGAGTACAAGCAATATTTAATGTGTGTCTGGCACACCAACTTTTAATTTCACTATTTAAAGATAAAAATAAAACCATCCCATCTTTTTTATTTTACCTATCATCTGGATGGAGATTTATTTATTTGTTTATTTATGTAATTTCAGTATCATACATGTCAGTGCTGGAATGCTAGTTCATTGTGCCCAGAGTTTAGAGACAGCCGCAGAGCATTTTTTGTATCAGTCTCCTGTTCTCAGGACCCTGCTGTTCTCAGGGTCCTTGTTTAAGACAAGTGATATTCCAAAATGAACTGCTCTTTCTACCTGTGGTCTATGCTGTTAGTCTGCTGCCCACTTATCTACTGGTGGACATGAGTTTTTTCCACCTTTTGGCTATTGTGAATAAAATGGCTATGAACATTAACATGGACATGTTTTATGGCACCCTAATAGAAAATCTTTGAGGTAAATACCTAGCTGTAGAATTGATTTCTTTTGGGGGGGAAGTATTTCCATTGAACTATTTATTTTAATCAACAACTGTAGTGAAAATCCTTAATTGGTACAGATAACCTTTAGTAACATATTGCAATAAACATGAAGAGTTGGAAAACAAATAAGCATCTTTATGCAGTCTAACAACATAAAATAACTCTTAAGTTCCAATTGTTGAGGCTTTTCTTTTGCTCCGAGGTCAGAAACCTCTGAAGTAGTGTTACAAACATTAAGGAAATGTGGAAAGGCCAACAAAGCCCTCTTTACCTAACTGTAGAATTGTTAACTCATGTGGTAATTCTATTTTTGAATTTTAGAGGAACTACCATATTTTTGTTTGGTTTTGTTTGCATTCCTGGGGATTGGATCCAGACCTTTGCACATGCTAAGACAGCTATCACTGAGGTACACCCCAGTCCATCTTGATGGTTTTGTTTGTTTGTTTGTTTTTTATAGTGGTTGCACCATTTAACATCTCTGCTAACAGTATACAGGGCTCCAGTTCCTCCACATCTTTGTCAGCACCTGCTCCCTTCCACTCTCTGGTTTTTAAATACACAGCCGTCCTAATGCGTGTGAATAATTATCTCATTATCTCATTGTGGTTTTGTCGTTTACAGTTCTCTTGTGCTCAGTGATATTGAAAATCTTTTCATGTGCTCCTTGGCCATTTGTGTATCTCTGGAGAAATACCAACTCAAGTTCTTTGCTACAAATACAGTGTTTGGAACTACTTTATCTATTCAGTGCCATGTCTTATATGTACTATTTATATCCATACAATTTGAAGATGAAACTGTTTGGGTAGTTTTATTACCTTTTTGAAGTTTATATCTACTCAGCTCACTCACATTACCTACTTACACGTTATACCAACTTCCTCTGAGGCAAGTTATTTCCAACCCTCTGATCACACGCAGCCTCTGCCTTCCTTGTCCTCTACCCTCTACAGAATACATCAGTTACTGATGAAGGACTAATGGAGGAAGACTGTCTATTGGAAAGAAGTATTTGGAGACAATCTAACTTCTTGCCTGCAGTTCATTGCTCACTTGTTATCTGACTTGTAACAACAGTCCTTTATTATTCCAGTCTCTTCAATGAAGCTATGGGTTTTGCCTAACACTGTCAAATTTAATACAGCAAAGAATATAAAATTACTTTTAAATCGGTGGCCACAGAGTGTCTTAGGTAGGGTTTCTTACTGCCATGATAAACACCATGACCAAAAGCAACTTGGGGAGAAAAGGGTTGGAAGTCAAGGCAGGAACTGACACTGAGACCTGTGTTGATAGCAAGATATCACCACAGAGACCATGGAGGAGTGCTGCTTACTGATTTGCCTGCTCCTGCCTTATTCAGCCTGCTTTCTTACCCAATCTGGGACCACCACCAGCCTAGGAATGGTACTACCCGCAATGACTTGGGCCCTCCATATCAATCACTAGCGAAGAAAATGCACTACCGATTTGCCTACAGATAGATCTTATGAAGTCATTTTCTCAATTGAAAGTCCCTCTTCCCAAATAACCTACCATTCCTGTCAAATTGACCAAAAAAAAAAAAAGAAAGAAAGAAAAAGAAAAAGAAAAAAGAAACAATGGGAAACAATTGATCCTAGAAACTTAGCATTGGAAAATATCTCAATGGCCCTTTAGAAATGTGCCTGTATCCTCCTCTCCACCCCAATACTTGATGTGCCTCTTTAGCATAGTCAGAGACATCACAGAATTTGAGGATGCACCTCTCTATATATATGGAACGAGTGTGCACAGATGCAGTTAGAAACTGCTAAATGTGATTGTCATGAACAAAATGGTGAGGCTGTGGCTTCTTCCTGCCTACACTCGCATGATGTTTGTCTCTTGGGTGAGGATGTTTATACTGAACATCCGGAGAAGCATTGTGTTTTGTTCAGGATCCACCTGCTTCTCTCCAGCCCAAACACAATTAACTGAGGCTGGTAAAACTCAGAGTAGGAGGCTGGTCACACTGTACTGCCTTGAATTTAATCCAAGAAACTAACCGTGCAGTGGAGAGACTCCAGGTAGAGGCCAACCAGTTAGGGTGTTAGACAGAACACATCCTTGAGTTCTTTTGTTTATGTAGTACAATAAGTACAGCCAGGTTTCAAAATTACGTAACATGCACCTTAACCCTCACCACACAGGCACTTGGGAGTCTAACAGTTTAGTCAGAGGGAAATGACAACAGTAAGAAGATGATCACAATTTGGATCTCTAGGTGATACATCAAGAACTATAATTGTTAGTAATAATAGTAATAGCTGCTGTTTTGTACCAATCAAAATCCTTATGTATTAAATATTTTTATACATCACTGTTGTGGTCACCATACAACCAGTTTAGAGCAGAGGAACCTGGCACAGACTAGTTGATGATGACTTAAAAAGATTTAGAAAATTGGAGAGCAAGAACTAATGTCCAGTTTGCCAAAGATGGGACTGGCTTCCTGGAAGACATGGAATTTGAGTTGAATCTTGAAGGACACGAAGAAAAATAGAGAAGGTAGAGTCTTTCCACCTTCTTTTTGCTGTACTTTGGCTGGGCAGGCAGTCACACAACAGACTTGCTTCCACACATTTCCCTGTCAGCTTTACCTGAGCAGGTCAAGTTATCTCTGGTAACATAATCTAGATTTGTCTCTGCCCTCTTTTGCAAGCTTAAAAGTGCTTTGTTAAAATTCTCTCATGGCAAATTGTCTTTGTGCCTCAGTTTCTGTATAAAATGAAAATAATAAAAGAGTTACAGTACTCACTTTCTCGAGTATTGAGAGAGCCAAATGAGTCAATATGGGAAAAGTACCTAAGACAGATCATTGGCCATAGTAACTGGCATTTATTTTAACTGCCATATATCTACTAATATAGACAAGAGGTTTTTTTCAGATTTTTTAATTTAAATTAGAAAAAAGTTTCTTTTACATGTCAATCCCAGTTCCTTCCCCCTCCCCTCCTTCCCTGCCCCCCATAGACAAGAGTTTTGATTATGGGGAATTAATTCATAGCTACTCCTCTTGCCTTCCAACTTATCCTCACATAGGAGAAAGACAGACAGACACACAGACACTTTCCTTTTTGTGTGTAGATTTATTTATTATGTATACAGTGCTCTGTCTGCATAAATGCCTGCATGCCAGAAGAGGTTACCAGATCTCATAGGTAGTTGGGAGTCACCATGTGGTTGCTGGGAATTAAACTCGGAACCTCTGGAAGAACACCCCGTGCTCTTAACCTCTGAGCTATCTCCAGTCCCCACACATGTTTTCTGACAGTGTTTTACTATCAGGGCTTGCTAAATGTTAGAATGGCTGAATATTGTCAAAGTGCGGTTTGTTAGCACTGAAGAATGGGAGAAGGTCCCATTTTGTTTGGCTACTTTAGATTCTGTGGGAGACCTGTCCCTCCTCTTCTTTTAGGAAGCAAACATTTTAACTAAAGACTCACAAAGAGTCCAGACTCATTGTGTATAGTCTTTCCCCTAACCTGAGAAGCATGGTACCAGGGAAGGTGCTTTGCCCAAGTGGAGGACTTGTAAGGCCAGCCATGTCCTTCTGGCCTCACCCATGCCCAGTTATTTTCCTACTGCTCTCTGAAATCCCCCAGGATCTAAGGCTAATCTTGACTATGTCTGGTATTGGCACAAAGGAGGTTTTGCTGCCTAAGATCTCAATAGAAGGAAAATACCCAGGCTCCTTTCCAACTGTGAAGACCTCTGGACTAAACCATGGGCAGCTCCAGACAGGAACCTTCTCCAGAAGGCTCAGGTCTGATGATAGTTACAAGCTCCAGGAGTTTTCCCCTAACAGGGATGTTGTCGTGTCCATGAGGCATTTCCTCCTCTGACATCAACCATCAAAACTGGAGAAAATCTTGGTTTGTGTTGTCTAAGGGAGGCCACTGTGGTGGGAGGCTCTATAGTAAGTTCAGGGGAGAGGGGGAGCCCATTCTGAAGGACAGAGCCAGGGCCTCCAATTAGTGCTGTTCCTGAGACTCAGCAGCTAAAAATGATGGAGGTTTATCTTCTGAGATCCTGAGTCCTGTGGACCAGTCAGCAACCTGAAGGAGGACCTGGGAACTTCATTAAACTGGCTCCCATGCCTTCGATGAAAACACTGTGTCATTGTGATCAGGGAGGGCTTGCTGACATGGGAAGAAACACTGAGGCATCTGTGTAGTCAATGTTCACAGGCTTGTTCTCTACTCCTTTCATTTGTTGGCTATTGTATTATTTAGAGCAATTGTAACCTCAAATCAAAGGATTTTTCTTAGTTATTAATTAGTATTAAATATTCACTATTGCTGTTGGTGGTGATTTTAAATTCACTTTGAGCAGCACACATATATAGGCAATTATTGAATAGGAAAATATTTCCTGTTTGTATGCATATGTCTTATTTCTTTCTTACTATGTTGTTGCTCATAATTTAGCACTGGTGTTTTAAGTTGGAATTCTAGAAAGGATTTCTTGTGGAGGGTATAATAGTGTGACTTGAATCAGAATTCTTTCTGTGTTTGCTTTTTGTTTTTCAAGACAGGGTTTCTCTGTGTAGCTTTGGAGCCTGTCCTGGAACTAGTTTGGAACTCACAGAGAACCACCTGCCTCTGCCTCCCAAGTGCTAGGATTAAAGGGATGTGCCACCACCGCCCGGCTTTGAATCAGAATTCTTACCTGAGACTCTGGATAAGGCTCAAGGTTACTAGTAATCTAATCTCTTGCTTTTTCTTTTCTTTTTTTCTGTCTTCCAGGATGAATTTAAGAAGGAAAAAGGAGATGGTCTAACCCAGATACTGTGTGGGAAGGAGGGGACTGAGGTTGAGGCTGGTGCTAGTGTCTGCTCCTTGCTTCTAGCCCAGTCTGAGGTTAGGCCCGAGTGTTTGCTGATGGTCTTGGCCAATAGCACAGGTAAGGACCACTTTGGGGCTTGGTATTGACTAGGACTGAACTTAAATGGGGTTCTGTTAGAAGATCCTGGTTGGAGCTACTATACCTTAGCTTTAGAAAAAACCACATGTCCTGGGAAGAAAGGTCTGGCTGAAAAGCATCACTAGATAAAGGAGCTTCTAGGACAAGATGGGAGGATAGATCAAGATGAGCTGGACTAGCTTTTAGATTTAGCAACCCCTGTTTCTAATTCTAGAACTTTCCAGCAAACTCCAGCTTATGGAAAAGCACCAGTCTGACTTGAGAAAGGTATGTTCACAAGATGATGCATCTCAGGGGGAGCAATGGGTCAGAAGAGGAGATGGCGATCTCTTCAGGCACCCTCTTCCCACCCTCTAACAGTCCACATCAGGGATATGGAGTGGTCTGGGCTTCTCACTAGAACTCCTTTTCCACAAGTGACATGCTGCCATTTGTTTGTCTCTTCCTTAAGCTGGGAATCCAAGGCTTCAATAAACAAGATATTGGGAGCCACCAGAGCTATTCCCGAAAGACTCTGATTGCATTGGTCACCTCGGGAGTCCTGCTGGCCATCTTGGGCACCACTGGCTATTTCCTGATGAATCGTCGCAGTTGGAGCCCCACAGGAGAAAGGCTGGTCAGTTTTGGGGTATGGGGAAAAGCAAATAAAGAAGATAATGAATTTCTAGGGAGGCCCATAGATATCATGAGAAGGAGAGGGAGAAATAACACAAAAGATATTTCTGGCATAGGAATATGCATGCATGAAGACATTATATCTGGGTAAAAGAGAATAGACTGATAAGTTGAACATGCTTATTTGTAAACATGCTGAATGCCCTGTGGGTGCCATTTTGCTCCCAAGCATGTGACACATGGAAGGAATATCTGCTCTTGAAGTGTTCTGAATAGAGGGAGGGACAAGGCTGAAGTCTGACTCTTGCCAATGGCTGGTATCTATTGGGGAGGCTCTTCTGTCCCTGAGACTGGTTTCTTATGGGGCTGGTTGCTGAGCCATATTGACATGGTGTGGTGCCTCTCCTCTGTCCTCTCTCCTCTAGGAGCTGGAACCTTGATGGCTGTTGGGAAGAAAAGAGCCTGCACATGTAGCTGTACCTGCCCCCCTCCTCCTACTTCCTTTGTGCTCTCCTCACAGTATCTCAGAACCCTACTTACCAGATAATGCTACTTTATTTCTACACTGTCCAGGGTGAAGACCCTTATTACACGGAGAATGGTGGAGGCCAGGGCTATAGCTCAGGACCTGGGGCCTCCCCTGAGACTCAGGGAAAGGCCAGTGTGATCCGAGGGGCTCAGGAGAACGGGACCGGCCAGGCCACATCCAGAAACGGCCATTCAGCAAGACAACATGTGGTGGCTGACACAGAACTGTGACTTGGCTGGGTGGGCAAACCTGGGTGGTATCTAGGAAAGTGGCACCTCTGCCTCTGACCTCATGCTGCCTCTAACTCATGCCCTACCCTCTCACATCACACACACTTTAGAGACTGTTCCTGGGACTCTTCACCTTTAGGGAGGCAGAAACATTGCCCTCTGAACATTCAGCTCCCTGAACCCAAACTCTGACCTTTGGGTCAAGTTTTGATGGGGAGAAGCCTAGATCTAGAGGAGCTGCCAAGAATCTTGGTTTATATGTAGCACTTGCCTTGGATCCTTCCTTCCTCTTCTCTTGCCTCTTTACCTGGACTCTTGGGAAGACTAGCTTTTCTAAGCTACAACTTCCTCCCAGGAAACTTTGCTTTTTACTGTTTCTTCTTTCTGATTTCTTTCCCTACTTTAGGGAAACCAAGGTATTCACCATCTACTTCCATATAAGGATACAGCCAGAGAACAGTACACCCCTGATAACTCATCAAGACACTGTGGATTTAGTGACCAACTTCTCTTGGTCACCAGTTCCTGAATATCTGTTTACAGAGGCCAGGACAACTTTCTGTCTGGAACTTGATACTGAGCTCTGTTTTAAAACAACATCTCACACCGTATCCTGGGGCCAGACAGAAATTCTCATTGGTTCAGTGTAGACAGGACATTGGAACTAGACTTTGAACTGAGCCTCTTGTTTTATTTTGTTTTGTTTTGTTGGTAGGGACTGAACCCAGAACTCCACACATATTAGGCAAGTGCTTGACCATTGAGCTATATCCTCAGCTGTCCTCCCTTTCTTATTTAGAGACAAGGTTTCATGTAGGGTGACCAAGCTTGCCTTGAACTGGCAGGTCTTAAACTCTTGCTTTAGGCTTCCAAGTAGCTTGAATTAAGGCTCAATTGAGCTAAGCCTCCTGACCTTCAGAGGAATCCTCTTGCTGTGAAGCCCCTAGCCTTCTCTAAACTCTATGACACCCCCCGACCCCCGCGCCCTCTGACTCCCGGGGGAGCTGTGGCCTCGGCCCCCTGGTAGACTCCTTTCTGTCTGTGCCTTTCCTAGCCTAAACCCCTTCAAGACTATAATCGTCCTCTCCTGGGGTTGACCCAGGACCCCTTCTCTTATTTTTCCAGGGAGTGGGGGTGGGGAGTGGGGGGAGAGAACAGGGATCCTAATTTCAATGAGACTGGAAAAAGAACTTTCCAGAGATGAGAGGATTGGGTGGATTTTTTTTCTGAATAAACAGTGATGAGTGAGAGTAATATGATTAAAGTGATGATGAAATCTGTGTACTGTGGCCCTACCATGCTGAGTGTGCTAGGTGACAGAGTGGTTTCCATATAAGGCCTGAGGAGACTATGTGGCAGTCTGGGGGAGGTCAAGTAAGGAGGAGATCAGATCGGTACAGGGGAGGGACATGGGTACCAGACTAGATGCCCAGAACTTGTGACTCTGTAAAATGTTCCCCTCCATGTTGGAAGGCAGAGGGGCTAGAAGCTTTCTGTAACAGAGAGAAGGGCAAGCCACAATGCAACAGGGCTTTCAGGAGGATGAGAAATTCTGGGTACTCAGAAACACCATTTTGAGAAGAGGGGCATATGGATGGCAGCATGAAAAACATACGAAACAAAGGAAAGGATTTATGTTCTAGGCAGCCCCTTGTTACCTGGTCATCCTCACTCAGCTCATGGTATAACCAGGAAGCACTAAGCACTATGTGGTCTGTGCTGGAGCTGGCTGCCAGCTCCCAGACATAGCACCCATATGTAAGAACTTGCCTACCCCAGAGTCCAGGTGACCTGCCCCATGCCACAGGGAGTGGAAGCTGGGTGGGTACTGCTGGATTTTTCAGGGGCCTCTGGGAACACCCCTAAGTGTGTCAACAATGCATGGGGGGTTAAAGGCCGACAAAGGCTGACTCCTCCAGTCTTATCTTGTCAGAGCCAGACACATCCCCCAACTCATTTCTTGCAGGCTTTTGTTTAACTTTGCTCATAGAGACTTCTCCCTAGGATTAAGGAAGCTGAGGGACAAGACTAGACCTTGCCCAAAGGGTGGTGGCTATCTGGGGGATCAGAGAAAGGCAAGATAGTGATTGATATAAAAGTCTAGTTAGCCTCCATTTAATAGCATGCCTTGCAATGAATTCCCAGTTAAGGGTCTGACCCTGGTTAGCGGAGTCTAGAAAGTACTAAGTACTGGGAATGGACTCCTTGAAAACATGAGAGGGAGAAAAGATGCAACGGAGCCTCAGGGCCATTCTACCCTGCATTTCTGAGGACGTAGGCTTTAGGGGAAATGTGTGTACATGCTGGAGGTAGATGGAGTCCTGGCTATGATGACTGCATGGCTCACTTTAAACACCTCATTTGCTTCCTAAAGCATTTCCTGTCCACTAGGCCTGAAAATCATGATGCAGCAACGGCACCACCTGCTGGCCACGCTGGGTTCCTACTGTTCAGCTTCAGCACTGGTAGTTTGTTGGGTTTCAACAGTGTAGTCCAATTAATCTCATTCATAGAACACACACAACCATAGAAAAGTAATGACGGAAAGAACTTTAAATACATATTCAGTTCAATTCTCTGTGTACAGCTAATTCACACTGAGGCTTCAGGAAGGATGTCCTGAATATGAGGCTTCCTTTCATCTTAGCATCCTGCTCTCCTGCAGAGGCCTCCAGGTTACTTCAGTTGGGTGTCTCAATGCCAGTGGCGTGTTTCAGAGTGAGTTTGTGACTACCTTTTTCTTGCATCACTTCACCACTATGTACTGTGCCAGGACTCAAAAGCATAGCAGGTCCTGAGCCTAGGAACAAAAATCTCAGGTGACTATGAGAATCTACATTCATTATGGTTACACACATAGGCTCTTTTGCCAGCTTTTCTTCTAAGCAGATAAATGACTGTCCTTCAAGTCTGGACTAGCACAATATCTCCTTTCTATCTCTTCTAGATAAATCAGTCCTATGTTCCCTTATGGCATAAGCCCAGGGATAGGCAAACAATTTTGTGCAATAGGATGCTACTCATTTCTTTATAAATCTATTCATGGTCCAACGATTTTCTATCACAATTTAGCCATTCAAAAATTCTCACTGCTCTACAGACAGAATGAAGCAGACACTCACAGAGCTTCTAGCTCCAGCAGAGGAGAAAGACAGCAAAAATATTTTAGTTCAGCAAAAATACACAAAAATTTTCAAGTAATATTCATAACTATGAAAAATACATATGAATTTCCCCTTCAATATATTCCAAGACCCTTGGTGGCGATTTAAACCTTAGCTAGTACTAAGGCCTGCAGCAATCAATGTAACACTTTAAGATAACCATGACAGGTACCAAAGCACAGAACCCCACCTGAAGAATTGCCTCCACCAGATTGGCCTGCAGGCTTGTCTGTGTGGCATTTTCTTAATTGTTGATCAATGTAGGAGGACAGTCCTGTGAGGCATAAGAAAGAGAGCTGAACATGAGCATGAGAACAAGGCAGTAAGAAACATTTCCCCGCAATCTCTGCTTCAGTTCTTGCCTTCAGGTTCCTGCCTTGAGCTCTTCTTTCCCTGGCTTTTCTTGGATGTAAACCAGGTAAACTCTTTCATCTCCAAGTTGTTTTTGGTCAGTGGTTTTATCACATCAACACAGACAAAACTAGGACAGAAATGAAACATTCTTTTCAAAGCTTTTTATAAAACTTTTATAGGAACCTCTATCATTTTGCTAGCCATTTTAGACACATCACTGGCAACAAAAATTGTTGATGTGATGGAATTGCCTTACCTAAGATGTTAGCATTCAATACGCAAAAGAGAGCCTTCTTTGTCTTCCCTGATCACAGCTTATCAAAGATGAACACAGCACAATGTGATTCAGAGGTTGCAGCACCAGCCGATGAAGCAATCAGAGCAGTCATTCAGTGATTGGTAGCTTAAGGGCCTCAGATACAAAACTATAGGTCAGCAGTTATCCTAAGCTCTAACTCATCTGAATGTCATTGGCCTTGCTCAATCAATTCACTTTCCTTTGAGTCCCAAGACTCTCCCACAGAAGGGTTTTTTGAGTTACCCTTGGTTCATGAATGGAACTGCTTGCACCTGTCTGAGCTGCTTGTGGTCAACCCATGAGGCTCAGACAGCCTACAACTCTGATATTAGCTATGTGCCCTTGAGTGTATTCATTTCCCACCCACTTTACTATCTGTTTCCTCATTTATGAAAGGGGGAAAATAATATATAAAAAAGATGTTATGCCACCAATTGCTGTCCTGTGTCTTCATTAGGGTGGGGCATAATTAACCTTAGAAATACCTTGCTCATTGGTCAAAGAAAACTCTGCAGTTACATTTGGTTAAAGGGCAGACAAGGGACTGGAGAGATGGCTCAGTGGCTAAGAAAGTCTATTGTTCTTGTAGAGAATGTGAGTTCTGCTACTAATACCCACAGTGGATGGCTTGCAACTACTGGTCACTTCAGTTCTAAGGGATCTGCTGCTCTCTGGCATCTGCAGGCATCAATCAGCATGAGAAATGATCCACATAAATTCATACAGTCACACACAAACATTGAAGGAGAATGCTTGTAGATTCAAGATACCTTTATTCAGATAAATACCAGTTAAATGCAAGCCAGAGTGTACCCAGGGGCAGCAAGGCAGGGAGGCCAGAGAGAAGGGGCAGCCGAAGGGGACGAGCTGGTTCCGTGGGCTTGTGGTTGCTTAAGAAGCCCTCCCACGTCACCCTGACCTCACCTTGACCATGCCTTGATAGGCGTGGTCAGGCACACCTGTAGCCAGCCCTTAGGAAGTGTGGCTACGGTGTCGCCCTATAATTCCCCTTTTAGTCTAAAAGGGGATTAAAACTTAATAGTGTAAAATATCCAAAATTAACAATCATAAAGGTGAAATACAAGAAGATACAATAATCTGTTATTGCACATCCTAACTATGTCTATTTCAGCTAAACCCTAAAGTCATCTGAACTTGAACACCTCCTTCCAATTCCAACCCGGAACAATAGGAAAGTTATTCCTAACTAGGCTTACACTACCCTAATAGACAATAATGGGGAACAGGGGTGTAGCATCCTACAATTTACTTCCTGCTGAAATGGGACGATGGTAGCCTTGTGGGGTCCTATGGGAAGAAAATGTTAGTATAGTGAAAGTCTCCAACGGATTATATCCAGTCCATGTTAGACGGGATTTGTTTGACTGAAGATCTAGGTTGAAATCCTCAACTTGATTGAAGTCAGGACTCGAAGCTCTAGTTGGAGTGTCAGTTGAAATGGAGTAAGTTGGATCCAGTGCAGTCTAGGAGGTATGGCCCAATTTCTTTTCCAGAGCATCCAGTGATTGCTGTCAGGTGGGTCTTCATTGGCTGTGTGGGACTCAAACATAAGTATTAGCAGAGAAATGTTTGCTTGTATATGTATATATGCTGAAAAAGGCAATCGGGAAAAAATAATGATTGTGAGACAATGTACACCTTGAAGGAAAAAGCCAAGAAAGACAAAGACAGTCACCAAATTCTTCTCTCATTCTGTATTACATCAATTGGCTTCTTGATATAATACAGAAACTCTAAAGTTTAGTTAACCAACATACTTGGATTTAAGCGGAGGAAAGCCAAATCCAACTCTAAATCCAGCATTGATTTACTTGAATAGGGACTAGGAAATGAAGAGAAATTGAGTTATTTGAGAGACAGCTGAAAAGTTTACCATATGGCACGTTCCTTTTGTTTGATGGTTATAGCTACCTTCTCTTCTTAAGTATCTACCCATGGAGTGTTCTTGGACTTTTGGAGATGAGTTTTCCAGTGAAGATAGAAGCAAAACACTTCCTTTTCCTTTAGGAGGTTTCTATTTAGTTTATGAGAGGGTTGTCTTTTTAAGAGGAAGGGCAGACAAGATTTTTTTCTGACTCTAGATTTGAAAATAGCCTAGAGTGGAGACTTTATTCAAAAGCTAAATTTCTTTACACAATCATCTACAGTTTGCAGAAAGATATGGGAGGAAATAGAGATATGTCTGAGACTTTTTTTTTCGAGACAGGGTTTCTCTGTGTAGCTTTGGAGCCTATCCTGGCACTCGCTCTGGAGACCAGGCTGGCCTCGAACTCACAGAAATCCGCCTGCCTCTGCCTCCTGAGTGCTGGGATTAAAGGCATGTGCCACCAATGCCCGGCATGTCTGAGACTCTTAGAGAGATGGAAACATGATGGCAGCAGAGCTCAGGGTGCAGAACAGCTGGGAAGGAGTATCTTGGAGCACCAATAGAGGGCTATAGATATGGCTGTATTGCTGAACCTGTTATTATCCCATGCTGTGCCCTGCTTCTCAGTTCCTACAGTTCCTAATGGTGTGAGAAATGGTGACATCAAGGTCCTAGCACATCTGCCAGAGCTGCTTGTCAGCTGAATTGATTCTTCTATACTGCCTGAGCACTGTATAGCAAATGAAAGAAAGGAAATGAAGAAAGGGGATTGATTGAATTTGCCAATAGCTAGAAGTTGACTAGTTTACCCTAATGCAGCACAACAGCAATAAATAAATTAATCACTTGGGGGTAGGGAATGACTTTCCTATACTCAGTTATTAAAGGCTTGTATCACTAATTAGTCTATTAGTTAGAACTGTTCTCTCTCTTCCACATGTTATCAGCCAGCAAAGCAGAGAAAACCAGCCTTCAGGGCAAAAAATGGGAGAAAAAAGATGCAGCAGATACAAACATCTGGGCTTCTGTGTGTTTTAAAAGCACAGCTCTTAGTGCCCGGGGCAAACCCACCTGCTACAAGGAAAGAAACACTTATCAAAAACCAAAGGGCTGTTGTCTTTGTTGAACAGAAAGGGGAAAATGATTTAATCTTTAAAGAAAAAAAACTACCATAATCACAAGAGGACTCATGAAGGATAGTTCCACTGGCTGCTTCCTGAAACTCAAGATACACACACACACACACACACACACACACACACACACACACCAATCCAGTGCAAAGGTGGCATTAGAAGACTCATTAGCAGAGGGGTTCTCTGCCTGATACTCAAGGGCACTCATCTTAAGGCACTTATGTGTTCTGAGTTTTTACTAAGCCTGATGCCATTTCTGTCCTTCATATTTATATCTTGTTTGATGATTTCAATGTGTTTTCAAGGTGGGTTACATAGAGAGATTCTGTCTTAAAAAATCTTTTTGCATAACAGATAAATTTATGGCTTCAGGCAAAATCCATCAACATAGCTAACATAACTGCATTACTGTCATTATTGAACTGTTCCAAAAAGCTCTGAACCTCAAAGCTGTCTCCATATTTCTGTGAAAAGAACACTAGGAGAGAACAACAGCCTTAACACTCCTTACCAAGAGTGTTACCAGCACTCTTTCCCGAAGCTGCCTTGCCCCAAATGAACACTCAGAGAATTATATTAATTATGAAACTGTTGACCGATGACTAGGGCTTCTTATTGGCTAACTGTCTTAATTATTAATCCATTTCTATCAATCTATGTCAGCCATGAGGCTGTGGCTTACCCAGTAATGCCTGGCATGGTGTTACTCCTCTGGCAGCATCATAACTCTGTCTGTCCACACTTCTCAGAATCCTCCTGTGCTTTTCAAGCATCTAAGATCTCCTCTGTCCTTTGCCTCTTGCAAAACAGACATCCTGTGAGCATAAAAACTATCAGACACAGGGTGGGGTGTTGGGGCAGGTGTTTCCAATAGCAACAGCCCACCAACAGCTATTTTATCATCTTACTTAATTCTCATAATAGCTATGTGCTGGCATATTATCAATCCCATTTTACAGAAAGGAGAAACGGGGGCTCAGAGAGGTTATTTTGACCAGACATCTGTAAGCCATCACAAAGCATTTAGTAAGAGCTTGATAGCTGTTTGATAATGGGCAGAAGTGTAAATATGGAGTAAACAGATCCAGCTACTGGTAATCTTGGAAGCTGAAGGTGTTGAGCAACATATAGAGATATCTGTAAACTGAGATTATCCTATTAGGATACAAAAGGGACCAGAAATTCAAGTACAGGGTTAGCCTCAAGGTCAATGACTCTTTAGCCCATTTCTTCCTATCAAGATTTAGTTTTCCCAACCAAACTACCTTATACATCAAAAACCCTTCAGAAATTGTGTGTCTCCATTGGTTAGTTACATGACTATGACGTGTATCCCAACATTGCTTTATCTTCTGGAGCTGTAAGGGAGGAGCAGGTTGGGGGGGTGGTGGTAGAGAATACCTAGACTTGGACCCCAGCCTCAAACTTCTGGTGACTAGCACTATGGCAAATAGTGCTTCACTGATCCACTTCAGTTCCCTCATATGCAAAATGAAAAATGTCAGCTGCCAAATGAAAATGCTACTGTGAGGATCAAGTGAAGTGATATAACACAACTGACTAATAGAGAAGGTTTTAAAATTGTAAAGTACCACCACATACATCTAAGGGGTGTTATCATCCCTATTCTTCAGTTAAGGAAATTGAAGACTCAGAAATATTGAAAATAATTTGAAAATGGTCTGTAGCACTAATTCTCTTTGGTTTTATTAATAAAAACTCAGAGTCAGATATTGAGGTTAAGGCTGACGATCAGAGAAGCAAAGTGGCCAGCCACTAGAGAGTTCTCCCCTCTATCAATGCTCAAGGGTGATTCTGTCCTCAGAATGGATGTCCAGACTGCACTGCCCCTCAGACTGCATCTGTCTCCACCAAACCTCAAACTGCCCTCAACTCCTGTCTCCTCCCACCTTATATTCCTTTCTGGTGCTGGGATTAAAGGCTTGGGATCATAAGTGCTGAGATTACTTTCATGTGAGCTCTGTTTCTCTTTTAGACTGGAACAATTTTGTGTAGCTCATGGTGGCCTTGAATTAACAGAGATCTGTCTGCCTGTCTCCTGAGTGCTGGGATTAAAGGTTGTACCACCACTTCCTGACCTCTATGGCTAACTATTGTGGCGACCTTTGCACTCTGATCTTCAGGCAAGCTTTATTTGTTAGATCATAAACAAAATATTGCCACAATGGTGAGTGGTAGTAGTACTTAAAATCTTAGTTCTGTCTTCTAGCCAAGTGTGGTGTCACACACTTGTACTCCTAGCACTCAGAAGACTGAGGCAGGAGGATTATGAGTTTGAGGTCTGCTTGGGCTATATAGTAACATTATCTCAACAAACAAAAATAAAACAGACCAAAACAAGCCTGGTCTTACAGCATTTCAGAGTACTACTATATTTGCCCCAGGGTGTCTTATCTGGGGTCTGTGTTATATTCTATCTTTCATTTATTTAATGGGAAGTCCATACTTCCACATAACATCAGGTATTGTGCTAAGCATAAAGGACACTGATGCAGAGGTCTCACCGTGGCAGGGAAAGCAGATGTCACAGAAGCAAATAGCAGTGCTGAGGGGCTAAAAAGAATGGGCTCAGAACAGAGATGGAAGAGAAGGCAAAGGGGATAGCTGACATTGAATGAATAGGCTGTAGCGAGGCAAGTCTTCACTGTTGAGAGGGAAGGAGGCTGCTGTTAAGTATGAGTGAAGCATGCAATTAAAGGATGGTACCAAGAGGGGAGGCTGCAGTTACAGTTAAGGACAGATCTTTGAGGCCAAGTGAGCCAGGGGAAGAGACCCTTCAGCCTGTAATGGTGTCTTTCTTCTGAGCTGCTATGATAGAAAACCATTGACTGGACAGATTATACACAACAGGTTCTTATTTTTCATAGTTCTGATAGCTGAGGAGACCAAGATCAAGGTACTGGAAAGTTTATTTCTGATAAAGGTTAGCTTCCGGTTTTGTAGTTTTCTTTTTATTTTTTTTTTAAATCTTGTTATCTTGGCTTTTCTTCAAATGGAAGAGAGTAATAAGAATGAGGAAGTTCCTAGGTGTATTCTTTTGTATTTTTCTAGGTATATAGCCTAGGCTGGCCAGGAACTCATGATGTGCCTGCTACAGACTCTAAACTACTAAGATTGCATTTGTGTGCAGCTCACACCCTGAAAATGGCCCTTCTTTAAAGCCACAAATTCCACTCACAAGAGTTTTACCTTTATGACCTAACTATATCCCAAAGGTTCTACCCCCTAATACTATCGAATTGGATCTCTGGATTTGAAAATAATTTTTAAGAGAGCACACATACAGCAGATGTGGAACTGGATCTGGTGAGGCTAGAAGCAGGGAGTGTAGCTGGCATGAAGATAAATTTTGAAATTCACGAAAGAAATAATGGCTCAGAGCTGAGAATACAAAGGAAGGGGTCCTCTGAGTTGTGATTTAGGAAGTAGAGTATAGATATGGTGTGTTATAGAGTTATTTCCTTACTGCAACATCCTCTCCCAGAGGGAGTCTTCTTAAGACTCGGAAGGCAAATTAAATGTACAAGGTTCAAGACTAAGGAGTCCTAAGAAGCTACTGAAATTTACAAGTCACAAGGCCCCTCCTTAAGGTTATATAAGCAGTACCCAGAGCTGGGGAGAGAAGATACTCTGAGCTGTCTATAGTAGGTCAGGAAGTTCCACAAGGACAGACTTCATAAATTGTCACTCATGGTGGGCAGGGCATGGGCTTTTCACTGATGAAATTACTTTCAGTCATCCATGTTCCTAGAAGTCACCCCAATAAATTCACTGGTTCACTAAGCTAAACTTGATCGGAATAGTTTCTTTGGCTCTCATGGATTGGGTTGTTCATATCTCCCGGGAAAAGTCACGGAACATGGTGATTGGCTTGGAGGGAGTGAAAATCATTGGTGGCACTCTGGTTTCTTCTATCAGGTACAATGGGGAGAGGGGTGGTGCCCCTTATTGGACTCACAGACACTAGTGGTAGAATAACTGCTGCTTGGCAGGTGCACTCTACATGAACTTGTATTCTAACTTCATCTAGCAACCATTGAATTGAGGCTGCTTTGTCCAGAAGAAAGAGGAATGAGAAGATCTTGCCCACCTTTAGGAGTCTGTTTTCCAGCCATGGAGTTATACCTGGGAGAATATATATTGCTGTTGGAGCAACCAATGAGAAGGAGGGTACAGTTTCCTCTGGGTATCTTGCTGGGCTTCTTATTCCCCTCAGTTCCTTCACTTTGAATATTTATAAACTGTTGTCAAATAAATTAGATGTGTAAATTACCTTAGTTGCAGAAGGAAAACATTGATCTTAAAAGAGTTTACAGTAAACTACAGAAATAGCAAAAGGTGCATGTATATCTAACAGTGTTTAAAAAGCAGTGTGTGATGCTGGAAAATCACCAAGGAATAGCCAAGAGGCTTTTGTGCTGGCCTTTAAGGAAAGGAAGATAAGGAAAAGAGGAGGGTGTGTGTAGTCAGAGATCTGGTGTCTTCCTCTACTCTTTTCCACCCAATTTTTTCCAGATAGAATCTTTCACTAAATCTTGAGCTCAAGTTTCAGCTAGACTGGATAGAAACCAGGCACCTTTACAATTTGTCTGTCTCTGCTCTACCTCCAATCCCCATCGCTGGGATAAAACAAAAAGGTATTTTTATAGGTAGTAATAAGAAACACGGGCTTAGAGACTGGTGAAGATGTCCCAGAAGGACAGCAAAGTGGCAGGTTCAGGAACTGCGAAGGGGCTTACCTCCCGCAGGCACCTGTAGAGGTCTGAAGTTGGCGGTCTTGACACTTGAGAAGTTTCAAAACGCCCTGCAATACCATGCAAAACTCTGCTTCTGTGTGGGTGAGCATTTTTCTAGAGAGAGGGTCCATAGTTCTCCAATTCTCTACGGGTCTAAGTCGGAAAACTGTCAAGAAAACATTCCCTAAGAATTTACAGGTAGACAGAAGCATCATCTGTTTTTCTACCGAGCTCCAGGAGTGACCTAGCCAACCCACATCTCCTAACCCTTTCTTTACCTTCCAAGAGGTGTCATGAGAGAGAAGCTTTGGAAGATCAGCGGCGCCAGGGCCAGTGAAGAAAAGGACAGTTCTGGAGCCGCCCTCAGGTTAGGGCGGGCCTGTTGCCGGC